ATAAGGCTTTTCCCCTTTTTCGGGCGCGCGGCGGCGACGGGAGACGAAGCCGAAATCTCTGCAAAGTGCCGCCCGTAAAACGATCGCTTTAAAAATAAACAAAGAGGGGCCAGGCCGATGACGTTTAGCTCAATGTTGGCTGCACCAACGCCGTAGCCTTGACTGAGCTCCTTCTCTCGCCCCAAAAGCAGTGACCTGTTTAGACAGATGCGAAGCAGCTGACTGCTTCCCTAGCGATTGCTGCTTGCAGGCACTGGGGGGTCGTTAGTTGCCCCAGGCGCTTCGAAAACTAAGCCAACTATTTGCGGTCGAGTCTCGGCAGCGTTTCGTCTACAAAGCGACAATAGATGTAGCTTCCTCATGAAGCCTTACTGAGCTCGATTCGCTAGATTTGGGGTCGCCATATTGAGATGCAGACGAAGGAGAAACTTGGCCCTCTGGTTTTGAGGACGACATTTCCTCCCTTTCTGTAGGAACATGAGTTACAAGGTCGGTCCTTCTTTAATAAGGGAATATATAGAACCTTTTTTCTAAGAGAGTATGTTGGCTACACTATCTTATTCCTAAGCCGGTTGTAGTTATAGCGCAAGCCCGTTCTGAATAGTGAGGTATATGCCGTTTTGATAGGATGGAAGCTTGGGCGAGTTGTTGAACCATACTTGACGGTGACAGCGCAGAAAAAATCAATCTCACACCAGACACTCAGGAAGACAGCGCGTGTGCTTGTCTTCCTGGGTGTCTAATGTGAGATTGATTTTTCCTGCGCTGTCACCGTCAAGTATATGCCGTGTTTTTACGAATGTCATCTGCACGATTACAAATTTTTTTCTGATCTTTATGGATATTTACAAGCAGTAGACAAAAAGATTAATAGGTATAGACGGAGCATCCTGCGATTTTGTAAACACATCTACGACCAGAAACTTCTGCTTCTGGTCGTAGATATGCCCAATCGGTTTCGCTTGTCGAGTTGGAGTCGCTCGTAGTTGGATTCCGGAAACTATGAGATGCCCATAATGCTGTGTGACGAATTGAACGTCGACGTCGGAGCTCACAAGGATTCGTGATTCCCAGAGTTCATGTACCCACGAGTGATAACAGCTCCGCCATGCGAAACCAGCCATGCGAAACCGACTCGGCATGTCCACGATCAAGAGCAGAAGTTGTATGACATCGTTTTCACGAGATACGTCAATCACTTGGACGCCGTAACGAGGCCGCAGACTTTCTGGGTTTAACCGAAAAGCACTGATAAACATCCGCAGATGTCAAATATACAAACTCGGTTAAAACCGAAAAAACACGGATTTTTGGAAATGTTTTTTCATAATCGACCTCATTTTGTTGAAACCTTCCTTATTAGAGTTGATTTCTTAGTTTCTCGTGAAATTGTTTCGCCGATAATCACCGTTTTTTTCAGGCTCCCTTCCACACAAATCACCCAAAATACACAGATATTAAAAAACAATAAACACCGAAAAGAATCTGCTAAATTTCCTTATAATAAATCGCCAGAAAATTTATCACCTAGTCACAACTTCGTAAGTTACTTCAGTTACCACAAGGGGCTCCTGATCATCCAAGAACACTAAGAACTCAAGGCGCTACATACACTCTCAGAAAAAGCAACATCCTTTTAAACGTCTCGTTTAAGCATATGCACTCTTCAAACACTCCGGAAATCCCTGGGAGCACACGCGTCTGTAAGGCGTGCAACGTCTCAGAAAACACCCAATGCTCCATGTAACCAAGCATAACGCACGCATTATGCACGCATAGCACACCTTCTGCTTCCCGGGTTGATCACAGTGATTAGGACAAGTTGAAGCTTATTCGCAAATCTCGTATTATGAGCCGAGGCACCTAAAGCTTCCCACGGCGTGCCCGGTTGTCCGTGGTTCTGCGCAGCGGCCGGTCTCCTCGGTTCTACAGCAACGTCATGTGGCTGGGCTCGGTGCTGGACTGTGTGGTGCTCAAGCTCCGGTCCGAGGTGCCGGAGACTAGAGCCCTGGTCGAGAAGACCTTCTTCGACGAGCTCCACTTGTGGCAGAACCAGCTCTTGCAGTGCAGCTCCGTCGACGAGTTTGTCGCCGCCACTCAGCCCGTTTAGATAGGCGACGCGCAATTAAATCGCCATGCATATTTATGAGCGCGCTTTTTTGTCTGTTTCAGGTTGAGAGAGAAAAAAGGGGGGGGGGGGGGGGGGTGTTGAACAGCATTTCAACTGATTATTTTAGGACTTTTAGAAAAAAAATCTTCATGATTGTTGTCTTTTATATTTTAAACACTTATTAGAGAAAAGAAAGCACTGTGTCATACACACCTGGCTTGAAGAGCCAGAGTCAGAAGTCCGAAAAAATAAAAAGATATTACTTGATAATTTTACATAGTTTTACATTTTTTGGCGCTCTTGTAATTGGTATTTGTATTTGCTGAGATATTCGCATGTACGCATGAGACGCGAAGCGAGCGAGGCTTTTGCTCGCGCGCTTTGTTTTGGAATATGCGTTGTCGTCGTCCTTGAGTAGTTGGTGCGTAGCAAAACGGGGAATGGGGCAAGGGCTGGGGGATATTAAAAAAAAAAAATAAAGTGGCAGCGTCTTTTATTTTTAAAGTCCTAAGTAGCGCATAAAATGCGGCATTTCAACTGCAAAGGTCGCTACAAGCCTATTGTGCCAATTCATAACTCTGAGGGTGCCACGTGTCCTTCCGGCTGGGCTGAACGACGCAGGGAGCGCGAAGTCGCGAGACAAGCTGCGATCTATGAATTGAGTTGTGTAGCTCGTATACCGCCCATCAGGTGAAACGGCAACGAGTATAGTTAAATTTTGGCGGGGACTCTGAATTGGTGCATTGGTCACGTGACGTCAATTTTCCCGATAAATTTAGCGGGGAAACTGAATTGGTGTAGAGGCCACGCGATATCAGGTCGTTTCAAGTTTCCCACTTAATTTAGCGGGAAATAGACGGACGAAGGAAAAATTTTCTGAGATTAAGAGCTCCGTTAAAGGGGCGATGCAACGACTTTTCGACTTCGCTCAAATACCGCTTAGAATGTATCCCTGACGTTATTGACCTGCGAAACATCCGTTCGTTTTTCACCGCACGCAATTGAAGTCGAAGAAAAAAAATTGGAGAAAAACGAGCAGCGTTCACCCCGTCACCTCGCAGCCAGGAGAAGCGGTCACGTGACCTGAAGCCGCGTGCTGTGGTTGGCAAGGCACAGGACGCGCGAGTTCCAGACATTGTTAGTGTTCGGTTATTGTCGTGATTTTACTACTATACTCTATTACACCTTATGATGTACCGCAGGAAAGGCTACTAGCACGAGCTCCTTGCTCTAGGTCCTAGGGCACAGTCTGGCGGCACAAGCTCTCGTGCATTAAAGGCAGCTGCCAACGCTATGAGCTCGCGCTTCTAGCCTTCGCTGCGGTACAACACGAGGTGAAACGGAGTATACCGCAGTGCTTCTTGAGCTATCGATTATCACGAGCCCAAATCGAGTGCCTACGCAATGCTCGGGTCCGATCTATGAGCCCCATTCAAATATCGTCACTGGGCGGTACTGCGACCACTCAGCTACGTCATTGAGTTTTGCGAAGGAGAGATTGAATGAAAACGCTCGCTTTGGTCCTTGAAATTACACCGCAACAAAGGAGTTTCTTGGTTAGTAGCGTTGCGTGCGAGTATAATTGAGTCCCACTAGTGACTCGTGTAAAGTGAAAAGCATTCCAATTGAATATCGATGCACCACCCTTTAAAACGAGTTTCGTGTTAAAATAAAAGTCGTCCACGTAGCTAGATTTTGGTTTTAAAGTAAATAGTTTGCGTCGAGACTGAAAGGCAATAATAACGTAATAATTTGGATGCCACAATATAATCGAGAATGACTGAACGTAGAGCATTGTATGCGGGGTCAAGAGACATTGTTCGCAATCAAACAATGTTTTGTTTTGCGTAGTGACGGATATACACCTTCCCAATATTTACTGAAGCCCTCGAACCAGCGTGAGATCTCCTCAGTCCCGCTCGCGCATTTTTGTCGCTTCGGAAAGCGAGCAAATCACGTGCCATACGCACGGACACTGAAAATGGAACCGTTTAGAAACACTTTTTTTTAAAGATTTATATCCTCTGTACTGAGAAAGGTTTCGCAGAAGAGTGGCACTGGTGCATAAATCTGCGACATGGTAAAAAATACTCTTAAGACTTCCATATAAAATAAATTGCAATTGAAATGTAATTTCTTTTTTTAGATTGTTCCACTAGACCAGTCCATTCACGCTTCATAAGCTCATATAGATGTTGATAATATTATACGTATAGTCAAAATTCGTCAGTTTCAAAATCGCCGGTTCTAGAGACTTGGTTTTTCGCTTGAAAGTCTGCCATTGTAGCTCGTAAGTTCGTAAAACGCGATCATGTTTTCGTAAAAAAAAATAAAAAAAGATAACTATAAAATAGGAAAATGGTGGACTGGAGTGAAGGTCAAACGGTTTATTTAATTAATTCACACAGACATCGGAAGCGATACACGAAACCTATAATCAGAGATTATTTTTTGTATACCTGCATATTCGTGTGTAAAATGCTAGCCTTCAAATCATCTGCGACAGCTATACTTCAAGTATTAATATAGCCAGCAGGGAAATAAAATACTGACAAAACAATAGTTGTAACCTATCATAAATCAATTAAAAAGTAAAAAAAAAAAACTGCCATTTTAGGAGTTAGCGGAGTGGCCTCAACCTTTAAAGTTTTACACTCAACACGCTCTCTCTCTCCGACCTACTACTTCTGACAAGTGGTCAGCTCATATATATATATATATATATATATATATATATATATATATATATATATATATATATATATATATATATATATATATATATATATATATATATATATATATATATATATATATATATATATATATATATATATTGCCAATTTATTGAAACTACTATACTTTGGTGTGAGTGAAGGTATAGTGAGCGCTAGACGGGAGCGTCCTTGTCGAAGTATCTGATCTCGTTCTGTCCGAAATCGACCATCTTCCTCTCCCGGGCGAATCCAATGAAGACCTCTCCCAGGGACACGTCGTTCACCAGGAAGTCCTCGAACTTGAGTTCTTCGTGCAAGAGGTGCAGCTTCTGGATCACTTCGCTCCAGACCAGCGGGTGCTCCGCGTTCGGCTTCAGACGGTACCGCATCTGGTCCTGCGTTGTCACGCAGCAGGACCGCGGTTTGCTGGACACTTTGGCATTGCTTCTGCACGACCTAACGCTCGCTGTTGTACACTCTTAAAACCTGGACGTAAAAGAACTCTTAGGGGTTCTTCGACTCGTCTATATTTTGCAGCCTATAAAATTTTTTTTTTAATCACCCCCTTAAAGGGCTTTTTGGGAAAAACCCATAAGGCTCCTTTTTTGATCAGAAACAGTTCTTCATCGTCCGGTTGGCTTTCTAGTGCACCAGACGGCGATGGTGCTTGAGGCGAAACCGTTCTTCGCGATGTGAAAGAGTTCTTGGGGTATCAGAAAACATTTTTTTAATCGATTTTGTTTTTGCACTGTCAGGCGACATGCGATTTGAGGCGCATTTGGGTACCGTGTTCGTTGTCTCGAAACAGCGCATTGTACCGCGCCATTCTCCGTTCCACACAAAGTCCAAGCGCAGCCGACGTTAAGATTTACATGGAGTCAATCACGCAACGCCAAAAGTTGATCGGCACGGTGATCGTCGATTTTGCGCGTCTCCTGTCACAGTAAGACACCAAACAGTAACAACAAAAAAAAGAAAACGTATGGATCGTGGCACATTTACCGTGCACAATTGGTTTGGCCGGCGATATATCAAACGCACAAAGATGACGACGAGCGCCATGACGAGACACTTTTTGGCACTGCTCTATTGGTTCCCTAGGATAGTAGCTTCGGCTGCCCTCGGGTCCAGATTATCTGAAGTGGACTATCGTTTGCTTTCAAGTGTTTTCCTAAAGCGGGAAATCACATTCATAATCCTAACGTAAATAAAAAGAAAAACAAAATGAAACTTATTACCTTAATTTGTTGCTGTAAGAAGTTTTAGTTAAACCTTTCCCCCCCTTTTTTTATGATGCAAAGTACCACCTTTTGCGTCCACGCATCTTTGTCCTCGAGGGCCCCCGCCGGAGGACCTCCACGTAACGAGGGGGCCCTGCGTGATATTGGGCCGAATTTTCGGCGTCATCTACCGAAGGACAGCGCGAGGCAGAGATCGAGTACGAGTGCTGCGTTAGCGTTGGGCTGGAACCCGCGCTCAATCAGTGAGAACGCCGAGTTCCCGCTGAACGCTGACACGTAACTTGTGCCCAACCTATGTGCCCAACCTATGCACCCAGGAGGGTGACGCGTCAGACTCGTGACTGCGGCCTTCCCACATTCCACTAGGTACGGGATCGGTTGGTGTTCGCTCACCTCCCGCTTCTCGCCGATGACGGAGTTGGGGAACTCCCGCTTGACGCCCCTGTTGAGTTCGGTGATGAAGCCGTCCTGGGCGCTCTGCTCCACGGTCAGCTTGACCATGATGGTGCAGCCCTGGGTGGCTCCCTGCTTCAGCGCCACCGTGTCGCCCACGCGCGTGAACTCGCCGCTGGTCAGGATGCCCACGCGCGTGCACAGCTGGTCGCACTCGCGCATGCTACGGGGGGACAAACCGAGAACGTTGGTGCGTATTTATATAGACGAATTGAAAGTCAGTCAGAAATTAAAGACGCGGACGTCACGATAGAGTGAAACAAAAGCTCACGGGAAAGCAGGTTTATCAAAACCTTTACGATCGGTTAAAAAAAAAAATTAAGACAGCTCTCATTCTTCGGTGTATTATCCCTGACAGTCGAGGACACTAACAGATGCTCAAGTAAGCCGTTTTTAGAGCGCAGCTCTTAGGCGCCCGTTTCCGGCTTGAACGGCGTCGCTGTCGGCGTCGGCGTAACCGTGAGCTCACGTGACCCCCCCCCCCAGAGGTCACGTAACCCCCCTGAATCTATAGAGCTAGGGATATCCTTTTTAAGCACTTGATTTTTAGTGTATATAAACTACATTATTTATTTGAGCTCGATATTTTTTCATGAATTAAATTTATTTTTTATTTAAAAAAAAAAAAAATTAAACAAATGTATTTGGAAAAGTATTTCAGTATTATCAAACACCCACGTTTTATACGTATCTTGTATCTAAATAATTTTCTCAAAAAGGATATTGAATTTGTAACTAAGCAAAATTTTCAAAGTATTTTGTATTTGTATACAATTTTTCGAGAATTTTGCTCCTCCCTGGCTAGAAAAACACAAGGGTAACAGATGGAGCCTAAAAAATAAAAAAACAAAACAAAAAAAAACAGCACTTACAATTCGTAAGTTCATGTCTTACTTCTATGTGGGAAGCAATGGCACGAAAGAAAAACGAAAAACACGTTAAATCTGCGCACCACGTTTTCCTGTGTCTGCATTTACTGTCCTCGTCCTTTAGCGCCGTTGATGTTTATATTGAATGACCAACTGGTGCGCGCAGGCCTTCTCCTAATCAAGCCAGGGCGGTTCTTGCCAGTGGGAGGTGAAGAGCACGGCCATGCCGCTGGTCATCTGGATGCGAGTGATGGCACGGAACAGCCTCCCCCTGGAGATGGGGTCCACGCCCGAGGTGCACTCGTCCAGAATCACCACCGCGGGGTCGCCTACGAGACTCATGGCTAGGGCCAGTTTGCGCCTGCTGCCGGATCTGTGCACGCAAACGAAATCAGCGCGCCCTTGGCGAAGTACTCCGCCATGTCTTTTTAAGGCAGGGGATTTCACGAGAAAAGTGACACGCTTGACCGACACACAGGTTACGTGACCTCATGACGTCACGGGAGTTTGACATCACGTAACTTTACGTCAAGCCCGAATATCATGTGACGCAACGTAACGTGACGTTGAGCTTGGGTACATGTGGCGCGTCTGTGTCACGCGAGGTTATATCACGTACCCTCGTGGCGTCACTGCCGTCACACAAACACACAGACACGGAGCACACGCCCAGCTTACAGCCAACATATTCTGTGTGCGCGTCTCCAAGTTTACCTGATACACGATACATACACGCGTAATTTGCTTAATTACGAAAACAAAAGAGGCACATGGAAGATATAGAGGACGCGGGCTTTGTCTTCTGTGTCACTCTTCTGTTTTCGTAACTGAGGCACCAACGAGCTCGAGTATTCACATTAGTTTTCTTGGTCGTTGATTTGCCTCCAAACTGGCTCAACACACCGAGCAATTTGGTTCAATTAGCAACTAAAATATTACGTAAAAATAATTTTTTATCAAGTTATTTAAGTTTCAATTGTGGTCCTCAGTGGTTAGTTGAAACTGAGCGTCTCTACTGGCAACACTGAAAAAGCAACGCCAGCTGGAGGCACCAGTTCGCTGTTCGGGCAGTATAGAAATTGTTTTAAGTGATTTCAAGAGGTTTGATTGTGGGAAGTGAAGTCCGCGGAAGCTCACTTCTGCACTCGGTAGGTAGCAAAAAATAATGCGCGGGTGTACGTTATTTTTTCTACCTAAACTGCCGGCTCGTGCCTGCCAGTGACGTCAAACTGCAGAAAGCGAAAGAAAATGCGAATTTTTTTTTTTTTTTGTAAATGCCTTTACTGGCCGTTATCTCAACAGCTACTCTGAATTCAGATGGTACGTCATAGCCTATTGGAAAGACGAAACCCCAGGAATTCAGAAAATAAAGTTAGTTTGGGGCTGCTAAAAACAAGCGAAGGGCCCCTTCGACCTCCCACCCCCCTGTCTCTTTTTCCTTTTTTTTTTTTTTCTCGTTATTGCATGACCGGCACAAGGATTATATTGCCTAGACTACTTATACATTTCCTAATTTTTAACGACAATTAGACACGCAGTGTGGTGTAATAAAACAGAACGCTTGATCAATCAGAGCGGTAGCCGAAGTTTCGCGAAGAGACGTCGTAATGAGCTAAACCTGAGGCATGGGTCTCTCAGCGGAATTTCGTGTTGAAATTTTGAGGTTTAAAAGAGGCTAGTTATTAAATTCTGTCTCCACAGACATGCTTTTTTTTTTTTTTTTCATATTTTCAAATTGTGTTATCTGTACGATGAAAACGTTATAGTGGAATTTCAATTTATTTGAGTCAGCAGCGCGTTCAGCGTATTCTGGGAGTAAGGATCATCATAATATCAAAAGAATGTTTTAGTTATTGGCGACGCAATTACTAGGAGCAAGACGTTAACAGTATTCCTCTACAAATATTTTATTTCTTATAGCGTTCAGCCTTGACAGCCGGGCGTCGCACTAATAGTTCGAGTGACTATAAGCGGCCAAACCTTTGCAAAAATCACTTTCTGCGCGCTGCCATGTTTGTCTGCTAGGCTGTGGAACGCCTTCTGAGCATGCGCTGTTCATCTGCTATGTAATATATCGGAACCTGCTCATTCGTCCACAGCTCAGTGACTCGGCATTTTCGCCCGGGTGATAAGCGATGCAAAGGTCTATACCTTCCATCAACCTTGACGAAGTTCATGGGCCAGGAAATAACAAATACCTAAGAGACGAGCGTGACTTTTAATTCAGGCAATAAATATTCTTCGCATATGCACAGTCAGTAATAGGCAGTGTGCACAGCATAAAAAGTGGCCTGGTGCCACCTCCGGTCAGAAGAAAACAATCGCCTGTAGACCTTTGCACCGCTCATAACCCGGGTGAAAAATACCGAACTACTGAGCTGTGGACGCATGAGCAGCGGCTGATATACGGCACAGCAGAGCCACATGTGCATGCTCAGAAGGCGTTCCACAGCCCAGCAGACAAATATGGCAGCGCGCAGGAGGCGAATTTTGGTAAGGTGATAAGGAGGCCGAGGAATGAACCGCGAATAGACGCGAACACAGTAAGCGACGGCACTTTTTCAGCCTTTAGTGTGAGTATATGCCTCCTGCGTTGAAGCTTTGAACGAACTGCGGCGCCCTCATTTTGGGTAGTACAAGCTTGATTGGCTTTGCGCTCCTTCTGGCGGCTTCAACCTAAATTGGTGGCGTCAATGTCGGTAGCGGTGATCTGCGAGTTTCTGTTCCCTCGCGACTCCTGACTTTTTAAACTGCTCCCTTTCGCGTTCGCCCACCCGTGTTATGGCGGATGGAGGTGTTTGTGGGGAACCATCTACGAAGCGGAGAAACGAACAGGAAACGGCACCAAAACGGAGAGAGGAGCGCTATTTTGAAATATTTCGCGAAGATGACGGCATCGATGGCGCAATGTACGGCATGCGAGTCAAGGCTTAAAGCGCCCACAGGTACAACAACGCCCTTTGTGAACCATTTCAACGTACGTCCTGCGTTGTTGAAAGAGCATCGTGGGACTATGGCTGGTACGCCAGGAAAAGATCAACGGACGCTGACGGACTTTGTACGCCGCAAGAAGCCCCTGCCAGAAAAGAAGGCGCAAGCGCTAAACAACAAGGTGGCCTCCATGGTGCCGCTTGATTTACATCCTTACAGCATTGTGGAAGACCGTTGCTTCAAATAAATTCTGACAGAAGCCGTTTTCAACTATCGCCTACCATCCCGCTCTACACATTCGCGCGTGCTTGTGCCACGGATGTATGACCACACCCGAAAGAACTGAAAGCAGAGTTAACAGTGCCTTGGAAGACGGCTCTACCACTGTTGCCTTCACAAGGGACATGTGGACATCGCGTGCTAGCGAAAGTTGCGTGAGCTGCACCTGTCATCTTTTCACTCCAAAATTCATGATGAAGCGGTCCACACTGAACACTCGACACATGGCTGCCAGTCACATTGCTGTCAACATCGTAACTATTCTGGGCGAAATGTGCCATGACTGGGAGATGCCCGATGAATGTGCGAAGTTTATCGTAACGTATAATGGGCGCAACATCCGTGCTGCAGTAAGGAAACTTCCGTGGACTTATACCCTAGTTACACGGGCGCTTTGAACTGTCGTTGAGTTCAATCACAGTATCGGCTCCAACTGTGATTGAACTGAACTGAACTGAGATGGTTTCACACGGCTCTCTAGAACCTAGTTGAAGCTAAAACGAAGCTAGTTCTTGTGCCACGTGATCAGTCTAATTGTTAAAGTAATCTACTCGGAGAAACATATTTTATTTACTATAAGTATATCGTATACATTATGTTCATTACCTTGTTGCTTTTTAGCGGCGTTTACATCAGTACCAAAGCAGATTCAGGGCTAAGTTGAGCATATTTCAGGCTAGGTGGAGCTAGCTACCACCCGCTACGATGGGTGCACCCACTGCTATCTATCCATTCACACAGCTGGTCCCGCCGCCATCTTCGCTCGTTTGGTGGCTTGCCGGCTAGCCGGGATCGTTTTAGCGGCAGCTCGGACGCCTAAATCTATTCCTTCCCGGATATTTTGCTGCTACGATTCTTTTTAGACGCCTCCCCCTGCATTCCGATCAGTAAGTGCCTCGGAAACGATTGTCGGCGGCAGCGGTCCCGCGGACAGGCGCCATTTTACCCGAGTTGGGGAAGTCCGTTCAGTTGAACTGAGGTAGGGGAGCTCAGTTGAACTCAACTGTCATTAGCGGCTGGATGACAGTTGGCGCCGCCGTGTAACTCCGGCCGATCGCGATTGAGTCAACTGTCGTTGACTCAATGGCAGTTGAAAGCGCCCGTGTAACTAGGGTATTAAAGAGCGTGCTTCGCGCATACGCTTCAACTGGCGATTAATGACGCGAAATCCCTTTCGCCGGCCATTCATCGCCTGTGCAAGAAAGTGAGGCATATTGTGGGACGTTACAAACACAGTTCATCAGCTCAGAAAAGGCTTGAGGAGTGCCAAAAGAAGATGCGAAAGGACGCATTACGTCTGGTGCAAGACGTGGAGACGAGAAGGAACATCCAGTATCTAATGTTGTCTCGCCTCCTGGAACTCAAAGAAGCAGTCACTGTGGAGCTTGCTACCTCGGACTGTGACATCGATGGACTTGGTTCATCAGAGTGGAAATATGCTTCTGAATATGTCCAAGCATTGAATACATTTCTCGATGCCACTGTTATTGCCAGTGCTGAGAAGCGTCCGTCTTTGTCCTCACAAGCTCTTATGATTTTTGATATGCCCCACTGTCTAGGTAACTGTGCTGGGGCATCAGAGTTTCCCGCAGAACTAATAAGATCCATCAAGGTAAGGTTTACTCCGTATAAGGAGGACAAGAAAGCATGCCTTGCTATGTTCTTGGACCCACGCTTCAAGTCCATTATTTGTAAAGCTGAAGAGGAGAAATTCTTATGGCTAAAAGCTCTGGTGCTGCAAGAGCTAGCCTCATGTAGTGCTACTGCAAAAAAAAAAAAAAAAAAAAAAAAAAAAAACTTAGCCGGAAGCTGCAACACAATCAAAAGAGCAAGGCTCAACGCCGTCAGCAATGTTTGGCAATTATTTGACCATTTAGCCAAAAGTGCAATGAAACACAAAGTGAATTCAGCTTCAGAATGGAAAGTTGTAGCGTATGCGGAGGAGGCACTGCTAAAGAAAGTGATCTGTGTGAGTGGTGGCGAACTGTCGGTTGCTTAAGATATCCGAGTCTGGCGAAGCTCTGCATCAAATACCTGATAATACCTGCTACTTCAGTGCCGAGGGAGAGAGTTTTTTCCTGTAGCTGGAAGTGTAGTTTCCGCTCGAAGGGAGCGCTTCCTACCTGACCATGTACAGCAGTTGATTTTTCTGCATAACAACTTGTAATCTTCCCTACAACTAGAATTTTCGTTTTTGTGTTTATATTCTCCCAGTGCGAGTGAGGCACTGGTTAATACCAGTGCCTCACTGGTGTTAACGAGAATAAGCACACAAAAACGAAAATTCTAGTTGTAGGGAAGATTACAAGTTGTCATGCGGAAAAATCAACTGCAGTTCCGACATGAGAAAATAAAAATGATGTGAATAAATGCACCTGCCTTCGACTATTTCATATTGGATTCGATATTCAAAGCTAACTCTTCGTATTCAATTTTTATTCGAAAATAATAATATTCCCACACCGCCATTTTTTTTTTCTTTCTGTGTAGTGCTGAAGAACGAAAAAAAAATAATTTTTCAACTTTCGAAATAAGCTAGATTTAGGGCCGCAAAACAATCGAAAGTTTCCGATTCAGGCTAGCACCTCTAGGGTACGCGTCTCTTATCTCAAGTGTGACGTGAAAACATGTGGCGTACCAATGGATTGAAGTGGTTTTTTTTTTATTTTTTTTTTTAAACGCGTGATTTAAGGCGTTTTTTGGCTCAAGCTGTTTGCGCTTAGCTTTGACTTGTGCTTCGACGGCGTTCGAAGTTTTGTTGTTTCTTTGTATTTTCCTCGTGATCCCGCGTTCCGCACCAGAACAGGCACGCTTCTACATGTGTGGCGGTTTGAGACGGTCACGTTTGTTCTACCGCAAAACAAAGTCCTAAGTCCCTTTTCGCAGCGCCTCCTGGGCAAGCAAGGAGGCCTATAGGAGCCAAAACGAAGTTCACATACCCGAAATCCATGGTCAAGCGTTTGGCGTGCCTCAGAAGCCCCACCTGGTGTAGAACGTACTGGACTTCTTTATTCAGCGTGTTGCCGGAAATGCCTCGCAAGCGGCCAATCAGATTGAGCATTTCCCGCCCTGTCAGCTTGAGGATGAGTGGGTCCTCTTCGGGGCAGTACCCGACGCGCTTCAAGTACTGGGTTGATGGGCACAAATGAAGAGATTCAATTATGCGACAAAGACAATGCGGAGAGCATTGCGGGGCAGCGGAAACGATCTACGAACGCTACATGTGCTCACATAACGCCGTGATTGGCGGACGCGCTTCCCTCACCTTCTCCCAGCACTTGTTTCCCTGGTTGCACAACGCCATCTTTGAGTGAAGGCGCCGGCGGGAAGGAACATTTTGAACAATGAATCTCGTTTCTTTTATATAACGGAGGTTTTATTTGAGCCGGTCTCAACCTTTTTGGCCGGACGTTTTCACATCTTTATTAAAACAGAACCAGTAATTAACGCAATACTTCGCAGCATATAAACAGTCGGGTTTCTTTTTAAGCTAGCACCGAACAAGACGGTGTTGCAAACCTTCGACATGTACAACTTACTAAAAAAAATGGAATTTAGCTAAATTACTGAGTATAAGCCTCAGATGCAATTTGAGTAGAATATAAATTGCTCAAATGGTAAGCAATCGGGTAAATGACTAACTACCGTAAAAGTAGCGAATTACTTCTGAAATCACTTTTATATATATATATTTTTTATGGTAACAAGAAACTGCATAGGTTTTGATCCTTTAGCGAAATTCTGCTAGCCAAATGTAAAGCGGCTTTTTTTTTTCCACAGAAATGCTTGAATAGCTTGTACTGCTTGCGCGTGCCTAATTGTTTTGTACTTTTTTTTATTTTTTGGTCAATAATGTACTGCGGATGTATTAATTCTACTTTGAGGTTTAGCAATGCCTGATGTTAATTTTGTAGACAGAGTTTGCGTTTTTACAGTGTTGCGTCGAGTACTTGAAGTACCATAGTTACAATTCGCTTCCAAAGAAAAGCTCAAGTACTTTTTAACACAATCTTTCATGACGCCCTTTCATCCCCTATACAGTGTTTCTTTTTTTTTTTTATTGGTATGCATTTCTCTATGAGGGTAATCGAAAAAGCAACAGTTTTTTTTTCGGAAATGGCGGCAAATATTGGATAAAGTCAAGTCGCCACCGAATACATAGTTGTTTTGCTCTCACTGACAAACTATTTAACACGATCAAGTTATAAGACACTTATTTGTTTCGGTCTTATAGTCGCCAATACCTCACCAAGAGAAATGACCTGATGATGTCTGAGAAGACGATTGCGCGTTTTCACATGACGATGAGCCATTTTTTTTTTTTTTTTGTTTTCGAATTTGGGGAATGTATTCTGAAGTCGGGAATCGTACTTTCCTTTAAAAGTACCAGACAAAAATACTTTAGTAAAGTACAAGAGCATGCTCAGAGAACGTAATTCAAGTAAAGTACTAGAAGTTTTCTAAGCCTAGTTGAAGTAGTACCTAAGTACCATGTACTTAAAGTAGTTCCCAACACTGCTTCCTTATTATTTTTTAATGTAAAAACGTAGGGTAAATTAATAAGGTTTATCAAACGACCTTTCAACTTTGGAAGACCAGCTTATTCTGAGTTTTGGGAGGAAAGGCAACGATACATCACGAACTACAGGAGCATCAGATGAGCTTAGAAGGGGGGAGGGGGGGGGGGGGTGCAACGATTTTAAGATGAAAAGAATTTGCATCTCCTCATTTTAACGCTGTTTATCGTGTCCCGGAGGATAGAAAAAACATCTCTTTCGTTAAAAAAATGTCGCGATTCGGCTCCATAATCGCAAAGCAAAAGTCGAGCTTTTTCCCCCACCTGCAGCCGCGAGTGGTAGCCGAAGGAACTACGGCGAGAAGCGTATACGTAACCTCGCTCGGCTCTAAGCTGAAGCATAACGCCCGCTAATGTCAGCAGAGAAAGGGAGAGTAAGCGTCCTTTGAGAGAGCACACGGGAAGCTACAAGGCACCCCCAATGACATCACTAGGGGTCAGATGTGACCTCGAAAATTGGGAGTGAGTTGAGGGGTGCCAGAAATGCCAATATTTATCTTTCTGTTTTTACACAACAACTAGGGCACGCAGCCGAAATCGTTTTTTTTTTTTCTTTTTTTACTCCAGAAAAGTCAGAGGTCAACTTCCACAAATGTTTGACCGACGTCCGGAATTCGTTGCTTACCACTGAAGTCTATTCTGAGATCGTCCTTTTGCGGTGCCAACTCAATCTAGGCGCTCTAAGCATCCCAACAAACCCAAAATCACAATCGTCCGTAGCTTATTTCCTCGTTAAAGGCGTGTTCAAAGATCACGACACCCCCTTTTTGGGAAGAATTTTCTTCCGAGTGAAGTGATCCACAAAGGGCGCTTGTCAGCGAGTTGCAAGCGATGGCTTCGCCCACGGAGAAAAAAAAAGTCTTATCCGAATTCGTACCTATCAGACTCTCGTCGAAACGAGCTATAATAAAACCGTTTGGAATCAGCGCATATTGTAGGGCTTTGATTGGTCCACTCAATGTAGTCCGCGAGAAAAAAAAGTCCACATGTTTTTCTCTTGCCCTGACATGAATAGAGCCGGTTTTGTAATATAGGACTTGGTATATGCGGAAGTTAACACCATTTAAACAATATAAGATCGAAACAACCTTTATCAAAAAGGACTTCAGTGCCGCTGCATTTTGTCACCTCGTTTGAGTGAGGATGTAGTGTGTACACCTCCTCTAGTGGGCGAGAGTTCTTACGTTAGGGAGAAGCGAGAATAAACCCTTTTTTTTTTTCAAATACGTCGTCTCCTTGAGCTTGGGGACACAAAGAACTAACAGTTTTCGGTGCTAATCCCGCAATTTCTCGACCGTACTTGCGACGTGTCTGTCCGCTCCCCGCGCCTCGTATAGACCATTCCATTTAGCGCTCTCTGGGCGGCACCATATTGTTCGACCGCAGTGCCCTCTCCACACATCCGGGAGGTTCAGCGGGTTCGTCGGGGTAAAACGAAAGAGAGGGCACGTGCCCGACTCCGCTAGCAGACGACAAACCGGGAGGTTGCTGTTCTCCATCTTTGGGCTGTATCGGCGGGCAGTACGGAACATCGAACTCTTGCTCGTGGCTGCCGTTGGGAAGGGGTTCGCGTTCTTAGAATAGTTGTGGCTACTCCAAAATCAGCCTAGAGCTCTCTGCTGTTCTATTTCGCTAAATGATCAACTAGCATATCCTTTTTCGGTTACTTAAATAGCAGTTGAGTCAGCCGGCAGTACAACCCTCAACTACTGCGTGTATTGCGGCAGGAGAGCCTGTTTTATTTATGATTTCAGACTTACACTTACATTATTTCAGGCCTACACCAGTACGAACTTAGTATAGTAAAAAAGGTACAGCAATCGGATTTACTTTCCGCCAAAGAGACCGGCCAATCTGACACTGTTTTCCCTATTTTTTTTTTTTTATTTGCACGCAGGTAACAGCGCAATGGGACCCTGTGAGTCTTTTTATCTAGCATAGTATTACACGACAACTGGCATACCAAAATCTGCGCATCTGCGCTTGAAAGTTCCAAAATGACGCGATTTTAAGCAGAGTTTGCACACCAGCCGGGCGCTAGCTACAGCCCACTCGGCGGAGCAGACGATGTACGGGGTGAGAGGGGGAGTGCATTTTTTTCTCTTTTACCCTCTCTGCTATGACCCTAATGGAATGGTTTATAGGTTGCTGCGGTGGGGGCTTGGGAAAAATCAAAATGTTTGGAACCTTTCAAACCACTCCCCCCCTGGCTATGCCACATGCTCCTATCAGCTGATCTTCCAACATTTTATCTCTTTTTGTGCAGGAACAATGTTTGTTGATAAGCAAACCTACCACTAAAATTCGAAAGTATTTCGTAACTTGAGTAGAAGTTAGCCGGAAAAAGTAATTAGATGGATATTTCAGCGAAATTTGAAATACACCTTCCGTGTTCAAGGATAGGCTGAACATAAACCACAATATCCGTAAATGACAATCGCACGTTTGTATTTTGAGCCTGATGGCTGTATTTTTCGTTTTTTTGTAGTTCTGCAAACGCTCTGTCAAGCGCAGGGAGAGCAGCCAGCAGAGAGCACGTCACATCCGGCGCAATCGTGACGTAGTTTGTGTCGAGATGAGCAAAGCTGCGGCAAGGCAGATATTGTCAGGATGCCCTAGCCGTTCCAGCCACCGAAGCGGTCGAAGCACGCCAGCGATCGGGCCACCGCAACTAACTGCAAAGCTGCATTTGTGTGAATTTTGAGTGACGGATCAATCTTCTATAATCTTGTAGAGGAAGAATAGCGACGACTGGGACACACAAAACATATTCTCGGGGAGAGGGGAGTTCCTCCCTCCCCTCTTCTCCTCTACTGGCCGTAGAGCTGTCGGGTTGACGTCAGGTTCAAAACATGCACAGTTCTAGGCGAGACAGTTATCGCCACTACATGTCAAGGTTGCTAGACGGGCATTACAAACGAGGCTTTAGCGACATTCACCAAGTGCTCTTTGCTAATCGTATAGATTGTTTTAAAATTCATTTTCGTGTTTTTTTTTTTTAAACAAGATATTGGTTTGTTAGACATGATACTGCTCCTTTAAACACGTATAGACCAAAAATAAGCGCCGAAATTTTGTAGTAGTATCTCTTTAAAGTAAGCTACTAAATTACCAAAATAAAAATGTCATTGATAGTTACTAAACTACCCAGAAAAGTAGTTGAACTACAGTAAGCAGAGTAGAGTACTTGAACTGTGTACAAGTCTGAAACCTTCTGGCCACTGCACATTTTCCCCCTGATGCCATGGGCCTGCACAAAGCCCTGCAGAACCTTAATTTGGCAGCTGACCTATCCATAAAGAAAGGCTTAGTTTAATCATAGCCCTGAAGATGCAACGACTCTTAGCAAAACGTTAGTTACTATTAAAGCGCTCCTAAGGTACGTGTTTGTTTTTTTGGCGACTACAATGATATTTATTCCCGGCAATGATCGATCACTACGAACAAAAAAAGAGCAGGAAGTAGGGGATAAATGCAGTTGTTTTTGTACTCCATTATGTTAGCCATGCATAGTCAGTGTTGGGTAATGTAACATATAAAAAGTACTTTAAGTAAAGTACGAAGTAGATAAGAGCTGATATATGTGAAGTAAATTAGTAAGTACACTGGGTGAAATGTACTTGAAGTGAAGTACTATGAATAGAATACACTTTCAAAGTAAAGTGCAAGATCTTTTTGACACAATCTTTCATGACACCCTTTCATTCCCCTGAGAGTGATTGTTTTTATAGGTATGCTTTGCTTCAGGGGAAATCGCTATTCGGGGGTGCATCACTAATTTTTAAAAATGGCCGCAAATATTGAATAAAGGTCTAGTGGCCCCAGAGTAGTAATTTCCAGAAATGGCGCCAAATTCATAAGTCCCTCCGACTTCTGAATCTGTCGCCGGGTGCACTGGTTTGTTGGAGCCAAGTGAATTAGACATAATAGGAGAGAGCATGACGTCGGCCCCATAGTTTCCGCAAGCAATCCTCTTGTAGAGGAGTGTACTCTTGTTAACGAATAAACAGTGAGTGTGCAGGTGATCTGATGATAACTAATCATATGTAACACTGGAGACTGGTGCGGAAAAGCTAAGGAACTTTCAAGTCGAAAGAAAAAGATATGATTTTCAAAAATATGGAGACATTATCTCCTTTTGCCCTTTTCTTCGACTTAAAAATCTCTTCTTTTTTTTTTGCACTACAGTTTTAAGTATTAATTTATGATTAATTGTCTTCTCCTAAGATTTTCAACCTCCTCACTTGTGCTGACCGAGCGAGAAGTAGCGAGAGTCTATACTGCTACGGAAAAGGTAGCCCCCAGAACTACCAGAGCGATGCGTCGTATGCTCGCGTTTCTATTGAGGTCCTTCCCGGCATTTGTTTAGAGTTGACAAAGCATCATTTTGTAATACAAATTTAACAAGACCAAACTTGGGCAACCTCCTTTGAAGTCGGGAGTTGTACTTTCCCCGGAAAGTACCAGAAAAGTTCTTTAAGTACAAGCACATACTCAGAGAATTTACTTTAAGTAAATCATAAGTTTTCTGAGCCTAACTAAAATAGTACACTAAAGAGGTACGGAAACGATATTTCAGCGCTCATTTTCTAGCTTAAATGTGTTGTATGTTGCAGCATTACCTCAAAAACACCAGTCTTCATTTTCGTTGAAAGGCACAAGAAAACTCAATTTAAAGCTGATTAAACGATCTTTCAGTGTGCAGCTGGTGGATGCCCGTGAAGCGTAGTTGGGAGGTAATCTAGCAACGTTGGCGTTCTTGCTACGTAGGCCATGACGTAGCAAGTGCCGCACTAAACGTCGGAGCAGCTGCGTTCTTTGGAAGTACGCTTAACTGTTTAAAGGGGTTAGGAAACAATCTTTCAACTTTTTCTTCTTTTTTTCCACAGCTCACAAACCGCGGATTGTATCAAACAGTTCAAGAAGTCGGAAAGGAGGAACCTCGAACCCTCGTTTCTGCTACCGGATACCGCCATTCTCCTCCTAGAAGATTGGCCTGTCGCTCAAAACCCGGACAAAAGTTGCTTTCCCTACCCAGTCCACCCCTAAGCTGACAGTGGTGTGGAAGCTACATGTTCTTTGGGCCAGCCACACGCTCGTCAACCCACGGCTACTTGGAAGTTCGAACAGCTGTGTTGTAACCCATTGACGCTATTGACGCCATCACAAGGCTGTACAAGCCCACCAACGGCAAACCCCATAAACACGCCAGCCTTGCTATGTCACCAATGCGCGGGATTCTTTTCTTTGGTTGTTGTTTGCGCCGAATATCCCATGACGCATCGCGCTCTCCGTTCGCTTGTCTTCGAACTCTTGCTCGAGTGCTCCGTTTGGAACAAAAAAATATAGCCAGTCATTTAAAATACAGACGTGAGATTATCATTTACGCTTATTGTCCGTCACGCTTGACTCATTTCCGAACGAAATTCGTATATTTCAGTTTTCGTTTTTGCACCCCTTTAAGTACAATGTACTTAAAATACTTATCAACACTATGCATAACACATAACTCATTAAACATGAAAAACATATAAATGGCGGAATGGTTGCAGGGCTTTTCACTATTTAGTAGCTTAAAAAATGAATAGCACACCAGCCGTGGAAAGAGGTCACCGCATACCGTCTTCAGGATCACGGTTGCAGCACTTTGTACGGCCTGTGATTCACAAATCATTCAAAAGACCCAGACTAGCGAACCATATGAGACCATAACCACTCACCTGCTTGGGGTTCCTTCTGATGCCCCAACCCTCGATGTAGGCGTTGCCTCGACCCAGTTCGCGGTCTCCGGCAAGGATGCCCAGTACGGTGCTTCTGCCCGACTGCTGAAGACCCAGCACCCCGAAAATCTCGCCGGGTTGCACGGTGAAGCTGAGCTGGTTGATGATATTCGTATCGCCGTAGGTCTTGCCCAGCTTGTGGACCAGAAGGCCGAGAAGACCGTCCTCTTCACCGTGGACCATGGCCTGCACAAGGTCTTCGACGCGGTCGCGCTCTTCGATTACCGTCGGGTCCAACAAGTGGACCTGAGCGCGCTTCAGGCGCAGTTCTTCCCTCGACATGAGTTCGTGGGACTTGGTCTTGGACGGGAACTTGGCGTCGAAGAATATGGTCACGGCCAAAAGGACCAGTCCCGTGATGCCCATGACGACGAGATCCCAATTGTTGTCGGAGATCACTTGCGGGGGCAGGAATCGGTCGAAGTAGCAGTCATCGGACTGGGCTATATGCCGTTCGCTGTGCTCACAAATATCTAAAAAAGGCGGAAGTTTTGTGTAAACACAGTGCGTAAATTTTAACTACCAGACAAATATAAACAATTGCAGGCATGGAGCCTGGACTGGTGCCCCGTGCTTTAAAGCACGTGCGCGTGAACATAGCTTTGACGAGCTTGCAATTTCACGGGCGTGCCCGCACGAGCAGAAGCATGGCGGCGGCGAGTTGCCCTGCTTGCAATCGTCAATAGACAGCATTCACTGGTTGCCATAGTTGAAACGATTGCTGTAGAGCGCAAGGTATACGATGAACTTTCACAGCACTTTTGTAATGTTCATTCAACGCCGCCAAGGTTGTAGTTTTTCTCAGGAGATAAGTAAGGACTTGTTTTGATCGTGCCTTGTGTAACAGCGTTCTCCAACATGGCGCCCGGTGAATAGGCTTGTGGCTCTCAAGTTTTGAGCAGCGCTCCAGGCGAGCAAAATAGAATATTTGGCTCGTGTTTCGAACATGCGTCCGTGCATGCGTCAAAAAGCCTTCCCACTACAGTTTTTTTATACTCCGTTCCATTCTAAGTGCCAGCGTAGCAGAGGCTACAAGAGCAAGCTGCAAGCTTTAGGCGTCTCTGCCAAGCACGCGCCATTGTGCTGTGCGAGCATCGTTCAGGAGGACGTGCTTTTGCGAGCAGCTTCGGCTTCGCTATCACGTAAAGTGAAACATGCGTGCTCGCGGAAGCTACGAAAGAAAGGAAAGACAAAAGGAATATTTATTGGGACGCAGCGGCCACGAGCTGCATAATTCTTTTCTTTTTCTAGACATTTTGTTACCGCGCATCTACAAACGCTGACAGATGCTTATATTCGAACGTGGCACGCGCAAAATCTAACGTTACAGCGCCACACGGATGGAGCACTCAGCATAGCATGGTCGCGTCTTGCGTAAGTCTTCCGCACGCGCTCGCGCCCCCTGCCCTAGTGCAGCGGGTCTATACCACCTATAGCTTGGAATGGTGCCTTTATTTTAATTACTCCAGAAGTACATCTTGCAAAATAAAAAAGGAATCATATAGGGAGCGCAAGTTTGTCTGCTTCTCGCACGCGGGTCGCGATGTTGTCAAACGCCGAGCTCTTATTGGCCGATTGAAAAACAATAGTGGGTAGACCTCAAGGCATCTAACATTGAGGTCTACCCCCTATCCTTCCAATCACAGCTTATGTGGATTCGTCGTCGTTATGATGTCACCGCAACCCCTGCGCAAGAAGCAAACGAGTTGCTTTCCGATACGTTATAGAAGTTAGCGAAATATTATAAAGATTTGTCATATGCAAGAGTGTTTTTATAGAACACAAGGCTGGTTTATGAACTGAAAACAAATACGAACTACAAATAAATGATCGTGCGTAAAACTGTATCCAAATATCTGTATCGTTCTTCAGACCTTTTAAAAAAAGGCTTCTGGCCGGTTCCATTTTCAGTGTTCGTTTGTATGCATGATTAGCTCACTTTGCGAAGCAACGAACATGCTCGTGCAGGGCTGAGAAGATCGCACGCTGGGCTGAGGACTTGTAAATATTGGAATGGTGAATACCATTAGCCTGCTTGCCTTCCTTCTATTAAGATGGCATGCAGTGACATCTATAATCGCTGACAGCTTGAAGGGAAGCTGAAGCACATTTTAAGAAATCTGAATTGGGAGCGGACTTCTATAGCTTTTTGTCCCGTGAATTCAGTTATCGCACTTATCTGGACGTAAACCTAAACCACATTTATTTTGAAAAATACGGGCTGCGATTGCCGCCGGGCATGCGGCGCTTGTGTCTGCCGCCTGGTATCTGTCCAGAGCGTCGTGACGTCACTAATGGCATCCCTGAGCCAGCTTAGGGGCGAGCAAGGGTTATCTGACCGCGCGGATGACGTCACTTTTGCTACGGTAGTTTTTTTCTCGGCGCACTCGCGCTTCCTTACCGTCGGCGCGCCGCGACTGGCGGCTCTGCGTCGAAATTTGAATTGACCATTATGCCTAGAAAGATCAAAATAAAACTTAAGAAACGTAATTTCTAAGGTGTCTACATTAGAACTTTTACTGTTTCTTTGAATTTGAGGACCCCTTCAGCGTCCCTTTAAGAAACGCGTAGCTTGTGATCTTCACGCTTCCTGGTTCATGATTGGTTCTTGTGCGTTCTACTGCCGCAGTGCCATTGACTGTTGGGCGATAATGAGATGACTGGCCACGCCCAGCCCAGCCTAGCGATAGGCACAGAAGTACTCGGGAGCGTCAAACTCACTCGGACAAGACTTGGCCAGCCGGTCCCAGTACTCCGTTTCGTTCTGCGAGAAAATGATGTGGACGTGCTCGCCTCTCGAATGGCGGCAAAGAAACAGCTGCAGGTCCAGGGGAAAATTGCAGCAGATGAGCTGCGATATGAGCTCCCGGTTGATGGCACCGAAGCCCCTGTTGACTGCGAAGTTTGGCACCATGCGCATCGGGAACTCCAGCTTGGTGATCAGCTTATGGTAGTTGCCCCGTTCGGCCTGCTTAATCACCAGGTCCTTGGCGAACAGGAAGAGCACGATGCTGGTCACGGTGCCTGCATGGCGAAGTACGCGAACAGCAACCTCGGTGAATCGGAAGGTCTCGTACACTCGAAATTTTGACGCCATCGCACTATGAAACTGAGCCAATTTATCTCCTATAGACCAAAAGCCTAGGCGGAGGGCAAGTTCGTCTGCTTCCTTTTTAGGGGTTATGGTGACGTCAGAACGCCGAGCTTTGATTCTCTCTGATTGAAGGATAGTGGGTAGACCTCAAAGCAAGCTGCCTTGAGGTCTACCTACTCTCCTTCAATCAGGGTCAGTCAGAGTTCGGCGTTCTGATGTCACAACAACCCTTGCAAAAGAAGCAGACGACTTGCACCCCGCATTTAGAAAAAAAAAAAAAAAAAATCAGCGTTTGCCCACATCAGGTGTGGGCACCACGCGTGCGCAGAAACCAGATTCGCGTGAAGCGTCTGCACATGTGCCGTATCTACAGCAGCGCCACCGCAGTGGAGCAACGTCGGAGGCACGCTTCGCCTGGCGCCCCCTTACGGCGAACCGGGGTGACGTCACGGCGAGGAGAGAATTTTTCCCCGACTCGCCCCGCTCGCCCTGTGGAGGCTGTGACGACGCTAGCTGTCGGCGCGCTCGTTTCTATTTATTTTTTTCGGCGTGTTTTTCGTAGGAAGTGTAAATTTTTATATATGCCTTTATTGAGGTATGGCCTGTAGCTACAGGCGAAACTTCAACGAACATTTTAAGCATGGCTGACAGGCCAGGCAACGCATGAACCACAGCTGGTATGTGAAAATAAAGGAATATGGCCACAATTGCAGGGGCATCACTACAGATTTACATCTCGCACAATGAACGCTGCTGATGGTCCGAATGAATTGGCAAATTATGTAGACTATTTTTTTTTTTTGTATCTCTGTCTTTAAACAAGATCGCCGAAGCAGAAAAGCTGCATGCTGCTCGAGGAACGTGCTAAATACAGTCTCGGCCATGGGGAGAGAATCACAAGTAAGACAGCCCAAGTGCACGGGCAAAGTAAAAAAACAAACAAGGAACATTTATTATATACATTGCTCGCACTTGACCTTTGCTGGATTCGGATAGTATTTTAATGGACTACACAGGTGGTATCTGTGGACTTGTTTATATCAATCCTCAAGTAATATATAACAAACGTAAGTTAAGGTGTTTAGCTCGTTATTAGACCATTAAGCCCTAAAATTGAGATGATACTTAAATCGAATTGTCCTGAAGCTAAAGTACCAGAAGCTTTTCTCACGCACTGTTGCCCTTCACAGGTTCCATATTTTCTGCTACCAGTGCTGCATCTACCACTGGACAGACGTTCGAATGCTTGCTTTTACTCCTGTATTCCTCTGTTGTCAGAGAGTCCAGTTGCGGGGAGTTTGGAGGCTGAGGAAGCTTTTGGGGACCTGCGGCAGTGACTCTTAAATGGAAATGACAATTCAGACTAAACGGTGTATTTTCCGAATACCAAAGGCTGGAATAAAGAATGTCAGGAAAAAGTATAAACATTCCAAATTACGGCACTATTGCTGTGCATATTTTGGGCAGTTTACTACATATCATAGAGGCAACTGGGGGAAATTCGGCCGTTTTTGCTGCTACCATACAAGCTAATTTCCAGTAATTGTGAATCCTCTAAGAAATATGCCTGCAGACGCGTATAAACTATATAATTAATTCAGGAAGAAGCTACATTTATGTAAAACAACCCTGTTCCATGAGCACTTCAAAGATCATCGGACGCAGGGCCTTTAAAACAGCTGCGAACCAGCGCATGCAGAGTGGCAGCGCAGAGTCGGGGTCGCGAGCTAATTTGCCGACCACCGAAAGGCCCATGATATAAAGGCCGCTTCAGATGCCTTGAAAGCGGGATGTAATATCGTCCTAAATCATGAACTTGCAAGGAACAGAATTCCAGCGTCTGAAACACTTGCGTCACCGCTTCACCGACCCCTCTCAAGATTGCCTTACGTCGTGTGGACGGACGGGGAGGTTCATCGGCGTAATTACCTCCGCCGATAGTTTTCGGGATTTGTAACCCAATTTTAAAGGTAAAAGGGACAAGCAGGCTTCTAAAATGTACGGAAGCACGTAAATATCGGCCTAACTCAACGTCTTGTACACCGGGTAAACGAAGTCCGGCTCCTCGAAGAGCTTGCGGCACACAACGCCGAACCAGGGAACCGGTGCTGGGAAGCGACCCGATGCGAGATCGCGGAGCGGGGTACTCGCCCTGGCGTCACGGTACACCTCACCCAATCAGGGCGCGGCGACCGCAGCGACGCTTGTGTTCGCTCTCGGGGCTAATAGTTGGTGACAGGTTAACAATCGAGCAGACGGTCCACCTAGAGCGCGAGCTTTCTGCCTTCGATAACACTCGTTGGCGAGCGCAGACGAGGCCCGGCAGAAGGCAACCTACGCGCGCTGGAGGCGGAGCTTCTACTGGGTGCTTACAACTTTTTAGCCTGTCAGAGACTATAGATAGCGAGGCCGTCGTGCTGAGCCTTGAAGGCCACCCAAGGAGGTAAACGAGGGGCACTTATTGGACACGATGTACTACGTCAGCATTCGGCTGAGATTCGTATCTAATCCGGTTACGACTCCCACCCGAATGCTGAAGCAGCCCCCGCGTCCAATTCATATGCGCCGCGTTTTTCTCTAGAAAACATGATTGCGCTTTGAAGACGGAGACATAGGAAGGACAGACACCACAGAGCGCTCTGTGGTGTCTGTCCTTCCTATGTCCCCGTCTTCAAAGCGCAATCATGTTTTTTAACGTACCATACCAACTTGCCCAACAATCAGCACGCGTTTTTCTCTTTGGTTGACGTAAATGATTCAGCCCTGTATTGTTATCCAGCAGACATTGACCATGCACGGACCCAGATTGGACGCTAGTATTGTGTGAGCGCTCGGCTGGGGTTCACTTGGTGCATCGACATCTAACTCAGGCCCTATTGCTGAATTGGCGCCGTCGTAGAGGTGAAGAATCACAAAAAAAGAACATTATCAGGCTGTGATTAGCCTATGGGTGGTTTTGTCTTGGTGAGTCTTGGACCATACACTTCTGACCGAATGACTCATCACAATTTAAAAAAGGAGCATTCAGAAACATTAAGGAACTGACAATTCCATTAGAGATACGTCGGCTTCTATTTTAAGGCGTTTAGGATGTTTTCTATTTCAAACTCTTTCTACTCTACTTACGTTCAGTTGAGTTTTATACGCAGCAGACGCTACGAGCTGAAGCAACCAATCGAGCAGCGTTAAAAGTTCAAGTCATTGGGCCTGTTCTGCTTCTGGTCGGTTCAGCAATGATAGAAAAAGTATACAGAAAAATGTCAAACACTATGATGGGGCAATTTTGACGCTGTCTGAATGGTCCCACCAGCTCGTAACGTCGGCTGCGTCTGGATGTGAGGTGAAACCAAGTTTAGCTTCGACAACCTTAATAGTTTGTTTGAACTTTATCACAATTTGTTCATTTGTTTCATATTTGCTCAGAAAAGTTTATGTTGGAATCGCACCACTCATCACTAATAGCAACTTGATTATTTTCTGTTTGTTACCGGGGCACAAAAGAAAGGTGCTTAAATCTTAATTTCTGCTGTGTTAGATTTTTTTATTTATTTTAAGATCCATTGCATGCCATTAAACGTGTCTGTAGGAGGTATGGGGCAATGAAAAACTCCGGATGGGAAAGTATTTTTGATGGTACGTATCTTCCGATGCTTTCGTTGATCTTTGCCGATATTTGACGTATTTTGTATTTACCCCCGTATTACGCATTTGTCTACGTATTTTAGATGCTTTCGTTCACCTTTACTTTGACTTTAAGTTTTCCAACGTTATCACTCAACTAGCCAAAAATACCCGAAACGGTATCAATGTGCTGGATCTGTGCCTTACACAAAAGCTAGTCCTTATAAGTAATATCATATACTTACCCTGCATTAGTGACCATCTTATAATCGGATAAACATTCTTCCTCAGAACTCTTCATAAACCACGCTGCAGTAAATTCATTTGGGACTACGCGAGTGCCGACTATGCCTCTATCAACCCACATCTGAAACACTTCTATGACACGTTCTCGAACGGTTTCGAGGAAAGATCTGTCAACGTTAACTGGACATGGTACAAAGATAAACTAATTGAACTCATTGAGTATTTCATACCACACTCTCAAGAAAAAAGGGTGTAAAAGGGTGTATCGTTACACCCTTTGTCCCATATAATACACCCCGAAATTTCAATTCGACGTACAGCGCCTTACAGTCGAACAGATGGCCCGAAATTTTACGAGGGGCTTGATAGCCGTGTGGTACAACTTTTTAAATAGCTAAAGTACGTATCACATAAAGTAGTACCACATAAAGAAAACACCGAGTTTTTACAGTAGGGCCATGAAAACCCCGATTATTTCGTTTTTAGTCAGCAAACGTACATTAGCTATTTTAATAAGTTGTACCAAAAGGGCTATCAATCCCCTCGTAAAATTTCGGGCCGTCTGTTCGACTGTAGGGCGCTATACGCCGAAATGAAGTTTTGGGGTGTATTATATGGGACAAAGGGTGTAACGATACACCATTTTACACCCTTTTTTCTTGAGAGTGCACTCACTCGTGTCATCCCTTGTCATAACAATCCGTGGTATAACAAAACCTTTTATAAACACTCCAACAAAAAGAAAAGACATTATAGATGGTCTAAGTGTTGCGACATACTGGAAGCCTGGGACAAATACCACGAGTGTGCAACAGGATACAAAACAGCTATAAATGAAGCACAAACTAAATTCTATACTCGGGCACTCTACAACGATTTGTTTGACAAGTCAAAGAAATTTCGGAAGGTTGTTAATCCTTGTATGTCGATTCCCCCCTAATTCACTGAAGACAGCGGACATAATCTATCCGAACCCTACTGAAAAAAACCATTTGGCGCCCATATGAAAATAAACGGGTCCATACCGGTAACCGTTTAACCATACTGGTCACCAGTTTGTCAAAGGGGTCTCCCGTATGGCTCAAAGGGGTCCCCCGTATGAGCCATAACGGTCACCTATTTGGCAAACGGGTCGCTCGTCTGGGCAAATGGGCGACTCGTTTGGGCAAAGTTGTCGCACGTTTGCTCAAACCGGCGACCATGTTGCA